CTCCGCTCAAGTGTGACTTTCCCCGCTCGAGCGGACTGTAAACTCTTAAAAAAGTACTGGTTGCATGTTTTTCACGCTCAATGGACGCTCGACCTCCGCTCGAGTGTGAGACTCAGACCCTCGCTTGAGCGTAAATTGCCTCGCTCGAGCGGACAGCAAAACCCATGAACTTCTGGGTATATGCATTTCATGCTTGAGTGTAACCATCGATGCTCGAGCGGAAGTGCATGTACTCAGAGTGCACGCTCGAGCGTGAAGTTCCTTGCTCGAGCGTGGATCAAATTTCTGGAATTTCTAGATTTGATCACCAAGCTCAAATTCAACCTCAAATGCATTAAACTCAATTTTTTGGGCCCAAAACTTTGGAAAACACTTAGAAACTCATAAAATAACATGTTTAAAGGATCATAACAAGAAATCATCGCCCAAAAGCATGCCAATTAAGCAAAATTCAAGTTGAAACTCAAGATTAATTCATGAACATGACTTGAATGCAATTCTTTGAACCAAAGTTCCCCAAAACATGACCAAATGCAATGTTCAACTCAAAAACATGATCAACGATGACGATATGACATAGAACATGAAGAATTTATAAAACAAAGCTTGGATTAAGACATGCATGCAAGAATTCTTTAGAAAAATAACCTCAAATGCCATGAATTACACATGCATGTATGTATTGAGCTTCAATTCTCCAATCTTAGCTTAATTGACCACCTAACTTTCTTGAGTTCAATTACTTAATGTCTCAAATACAAAGTTTAAGAGTATAGTTCTTACCTAAGGTTGATTTCAAGTGTGATCCTAACCCAAAGCTTCAAATTGCCTTCAATCTCCTAGTCAATTCTTTATTTGAGCTCAACCTCCCTCTACTCTTCCTCTCTCACGTTTTTCCTTTTAGAATAGGCTCAAAAGACTTTGAAATCAAGAAAAGGAGATGAATGGAGTGACAAAATGGCCTTATAGGTAGTAATTTATCAAAACTAATCAAATGGCATTATTTTAATCAAATTTAATCGCTCCGAACTGAATTTTAATTAAACCTACCATAAATTCCCATAAATCCTAATTAGTACATAAATCAAGTCAATTTCTGATTTGGATGCCGATAAGGCTTTCAATTCGCAAATCGAAACTAAAACATGAACAGATCTTCCTACACCTAACAGATATAACCACAAACAATGCAACACACACATGCATTTTAATTCAGAATTTTACCTTAATTACTAATTAGACACAATTAATCATGAATTAACGTTAATCAAAGGTCGGGGTTGTTACACTAAGTAACCATGGTAACCCCATAGCCAAGTACCAGTTTCATCCCTCCGTAAGCCTTCATACCTAGACTGCCCTGGGTCACCTTTAGAGCTTCCATCTGTGTTCAGTTTTAATTTCACTTTATCATCATGGTAGGTGTTATGGTTATCATGAACCATTTCCATCTAACAATCAAATTAAGGTGATGATCAAAACGTCTCTCTTGTTTTTTTCTTTTTATTTTTTGACACTCATTCACTATTCAATTGTTTCAATGATGTTTAGTTTCTCTTCTCTTTGTTTTTGAAGTAAATGTTGTGGCTGTCACATGTTTAATGGAGTGGATTGGAATTTTGGCTTCTTTTTATTGCTTTCACACATAACTTGGAATCAGTTACATGGGATTCTTCTCTTTTTTGCTTTTGAATTTGTAGGCGCATGATTCATGATTTGAAGTTGGATTTCTTTTAAGTTTAAGGCACTACACTTCTATCCAAAAAATATAAAAATAAAAAATTCACACCAAGGAAAACAACCTAAATCCAAATCCATGACATATAGATATAAGACTACACCCGAAAACAACTCTAGATGACAATTCATTTCAGAATAACCCCAATTTGCAAAAGAATTTATGATACATAGTTATTGATTGGTCATAAAAAATAGAGAGAATGAAATGAATGGGAGAATCCAATTTGGTTGCTCTGTTTTTGGGCTAGTTGTCTTATTTATTATTCCAAACTTGTAGCTTATTTCGCTATGGCTCCTAAATGTGTATTGACTTATTCTTGGTTTCTAGCTTATTTGTTTCAAGTTTATATTTAGTAGGCTTATAGTTCATCATTTGTAGCTAGGTTTTTTTTAAGTTTGAGGCACTACACTTCTACTCACAATGGGAAAAGGGAAAAAAAACAGAACAAATAGATACCAAACTCCACACCAAAGACAAATTCACACCAAAGACAACAACCCAAACCCAAATCCAAATTAAAAAAATATAGATATCAAACTCCACACCAGAACCAAAACCACTTTGGATGACCACGCATTGAAGAGTAATCCCAATTTGCCAAAGAATTATGATACATAGTTATTGGTTGGTCAAATAACATAGAGAGAACGAGATGAAGTTTTTGACCATTTTTATTAGGCTTTTTGGGTTGCTCTTTCTGTCTCTTTTTTTTATAATTTTTTTTTTATTATTTTTATGTTTTATGTTAAACTTGTGCTCTTTCGATTGTCCATTTGGGAATCATTTCAATTAAAATACCAAAAGGAACACTCCTTTACAGGTTAGTAATTTTTTTTTTGGCTGAAAATGAAATGTCTACACTTAACTCAAGCTTTTAGAATATTTGGATGGGTGATTAGGGAGGTCAATGGAATTCATATTGATAGTTCCTGTATGGCTGAAAATTTTTCCGACTGAATTCTTTCCTTGACAAATATCTACACAGATTACTTATTTGTTTTATATTTTCAACTAATATATCATACATTTCTATTGCTTGGATTTCGATTTTCAACTTAGAAAATTGGATGGCGCTTATTTTTGATTCAGAAAATCTAAACTCTTTATTTATTGAGACATATTAACAAACACATGGTGTGCATCTGCTGAACATGTGGGCAGGGTCGAAAAATAGTGTGGTTAAATCTTGTGTAACACACTTGTAAATAGTAGGCATCAAATTACAGATGTACGTACTGGGATTTGCAACGACAGGACCACAACTTTGGATGCCTAATTTTCATAGTGTTATGGCAGCAAGAACATCGACAGTGATGGGAAGAAGAGGATGACAGAAGCTCCACCCACAAGATATATATATATACATATTTGTCGGTAAAATTTGTTTTCTTCTTTATTGTCGGCATCGCTAATCTGCATTCCACGTGGATAACACCAAACCTGCAACAACATGTGGCATGGAGGAGCTTTGGGAAATAGGCAAACCGAAGACCACTGCTTTGGAGAATTTCTACGAGGAATCGTATTGGAAATGAAACAACAGCCAAAAGGAAGTCGGCATTTGTATAGACAAATGATGGAATTTGTTTGTTTCTACTCTCGTGTTTGTAGTTAATTTGAAGGCCACGTAGCCAATCCAAATTTGCTTTGCAAACAAAGAAGAAACCAGTGTTACACCGTTACACCATTCTTACCTTATTTTTATATATGTTATAGATTTATAAAAGTTTTGAAAATTATAAACAAAATTTATTTGGTATTTATTTTAATTTTACAAAACTTATAAACAATGTACAAAATTATTGTAATTATAAATAAAATAAAAAATTCACTGTAACAACCCTCATACTGATTACTGATTAATGACTGATTGATTACCGATTACTGCTAAACGGAACTGATAATGACTGATAACTGACTGATAATTGAACTGATTAAAGTACTGAACTGACTGACCGAACTTTAAACTGAGTTAAATGTATGCATTTCGGGTTTGGGTCGTGACATTCACTTTGCTTCAAAAATAAATAAAAATACTCATTTGCCTTTCTTTCACTTCACACCACTTGCCACGATCAACAATCACTTTTGATTGCTGCCAACCACCTCTCATTGCTAATATCTCTCACTTTTTCTTGCCACAACTTCCCACAACCAGTAACCATTTTTTATTACTGCCAACCACCTCTCATTGCTAACAACAACCTTCGACTACTAGCTCTTTGAAAATCACATTTGTTCATTACTTCTTGGCTAAGTGACAACCATCATGAATGCATGAAAGAGGTCATCAATTGTGAAATATAAGGTATATTCATATGGTACCTTCCATTATTATGATTGGTGGAAGGTAGTGAAATATAAATCATATTGTTGGGTATTTGAAAAATATTAAAAGATATATATATATATATATATATATTTGTGATTAGTGAAAGGTAATATCATTTAATACCCTATTACTATACAAAGCTTTTTCCATTTGATGGCTTGTTGATTGGTTTCGAGCCCAATTCTGATTGTTGATGGACCACGTGTTTGGTTATGCAAAGAGCACTATATCATGCTCCGAAAGGCCAAGCCCCTTGAGGCTTGAAACCAATCAACAAAAGCCCAGGATACATGGGCTTTGTATTAGTCAAAAACCCCATATGGCTTAGCACTAAACCTTAATCACTATCTGGTTTTAATTTTTTGAATTTAATATTATGAAAATTAATTTTTTTATTTTTCGTATTTTTTTTTGTTGTTTTTAGTAATTTTTTAAAATATTTATTTACTTTTTAGATACACCTAATTTAAATGTACTTAAAAAGTACAAAATATTTATAAAAAAATCAATAAATACATAAGAATAGAAAAATGTATTAAATTTTTATATTTTTGATATTTAGTGGATTTTTTAAAGATTTTTTCACAAAATATTATATTTTTTTAAATTGTATTTATATTGAGTGTGTCTGAAAACTAAAAAATATTTTAAAATATTAAAAAATATAGTGAAAATAAAAAATATAATTTTTAAAAAACTGAAACCAAAGAAGGTGACTGCTATTTTTATTTATTTTAAATGAAATGAAAAAAAAGAAGAAGCAAAAGAAATAAAAAAAAAAAGAGGTTGAAATGACGAAATTGGGCAAAGCATAAAGCATATTCGCGGCGCGTTAAAAACATAGCAATGCCTAAAACAACACAAACAAACAGAGAACCGACGACAGTAAATTTTCTTTGTGCGTTTCATAATAGTCTTTCAACCACTGTTCAACCCCGCATATATATATTTACTGTCCGTATAACAGTCCAAAACTCTTCTTACTTACCTAAATCAGATCTCTCTCTCTCTCTCTCTCTCTCTCTCGCCTTCGTCTCCAATCTCGCTTTCAACAATCTCTCCACTGCTCCAACTTCATCGGAGGAGGTACTCTTCAATCACTTAACCCTAATTTGACTCTCGATAGTTTGATTTTATCTTCAATAAAAATCCCCAAATCTGCGTAGCTTATAGGTTTAATTTAACTATATATATATATGTGCGTGTGTGTGTGTATGTATTTTATATGTTTTGTTGTGAAAAATTAGGGTTTCTGATTTAGGATCTGCCTATTGTGGATCTGTTTCTGAACTTTGTGCCTATTTTGAATCTTTTTAAGGTTTTGTTGTTTATAGGGTAAACTCGTATTATTCCCTGTTTGGAAATGAGTTTTATTTTTTTATTTAATTCTTTTGTTTTTTTGGGTTGTCGTTGTGAATATTATCTGCTATAAAGAGATGGAAATCTGATAATTAAGCAAATAGCTGGATTTGAGGATTTGCTTTTCTGGATTAGGAAAAGTGACCTAAGCTAGATGCTAGATTGGAAAGAAAAAGTTTTGACTACTATCTTTTATGTTAAAATTTATAAAGAAATGGAAGTCTGATAACTAAGCAAATGGCTGGATTTGAGGATTTAGATCTATGCTAGATGCTAGATTTTGTTCAACTTCAAAATGGGTCGAATAGTTACACACTGGATATCTGGCGCTTCTTGGACCATCTCTCCTGGTTGATATCAAAATTTTGGCATCAAAATGTTATGATTTGATATACAAGCCCACTTTCTAGACCCAGCGATGTGTAAAGATATAATTTTTGGGCTAGAGTAGCACTACTTTTAGAGATATAGAGAGAAAGAGGTTTACCAAAATTTCTCAATTGCCTAAGGTTTTGCAATGCTATAATTTGGCAAGTGGGAATAAGCATAATTGGAAATTTTGGGGAGATTGTATTCATAGCATTATATGCTTTTGGTTGATTGAAACCTTTTATTAGATCTGTAGGGCTGTGAAGCTCATTTTTTATGGAGAGCGTTGGAGCTGAGGGTGCTTCAGCAGCTGCACCTCTAAATCAGTGGAGGCATGATGCGTGGAAACTTTTCCAGTTTTATTTGGATAAAACTACTCCTCATGCAGTTTACAGATGGGTTGGAACCGCTATTTTAACTTTCATATATGCTCTGCGGGTTTTCTATGTTCAAGGGTTCTATATTATTACCTACGGTCTGGGTATCTATATATTGAATTTGTTGATTGGGTTCTTGTCGCCTCTTGTTGATCCCGAGGTAGATCATCATTCGGATGGGCCAATGCTACCAACAAAAGGTTCAGATGAATTCAAGCCTTTCATTCGCCGCCTGCCTGAGTTCAAGTTCTGGTAATTTTATATTATCTCCTGCATTTAATTTTTTTGTTTGTTATTCTAGTTTCTGTCATGGGTTTCCTTAATCAACCACTGTAATTTTTGGTGTGCTATAGCTGTTGCTCTATGTTTCATTGCTTTATATATTGTCTGATTGATTGTTTTGAAGTTTTGCCTATTTCCTTTGGATTTAAGATTGGTCAATGCAGGAATATTGCTATTATTTTTCTGGCTTTTGTTAAAAGTTATAACATCCTAATTTGGCAATATTTTTGATTTTTTTGTTGAAACATTTTGGAAATTTGAGAAATATGTTCATATTAATGGCTATTGATGTTGCTTATGGTAGATTATGCTCTGGGTTACCTTATTTGCGAAAGTAGGTGGGCATTGGAGTTGAAGTCATGAATTGGCTTGTTCAGTGCGCAATGTGATGATTCACATTTTTGACTTTTAAATGCATATATGTTAATAATGCAAAATTTTGCTGCTTTCAAGGCTCAAACATATGACCTTCATGCCCAACTTGTACGCTTGAACCTTTGGTTTGTATTATATGATTAATGAAATGAAATATACATTTGTGTTTGAAGTGAAAATAAAATATATGTATATATATCTGTATATATGCATGTGTATAAACTCTGTGGACTACTTTAATTCTTAGAAATAGTCGCTCTTTGCTTGGTGCTCTGGAATGTCTGGATTATGTGCGGACCTTGAGATCATATCCACAAATCACTTTTTGGCCATAATGACCTGCAAACAATTTAAATCAGATTTGATAAAATTCTTCCACACATCTCTGTTTTTGGCCACCCTTTTTTTGTCAAAATAAAATAAATAACTGAATGAAGTTGGATGGTTTGATTATGTTGTTGGAACTTGGAACTTTGTCTTTATTGTTGGTATATTAAGAAATATGAATATTTTCTGTGGCCCCATGTAATTGGACATAGGAATTAGACGAATCGGATGTTAAAACGCATACCTGCACTTGATACTTGTACATGAGTCCATGTAACATAGTATCTCTAACCAAGCTATGATTAATGCATGAAGTGTGTTTTTCGAAATTAGTTTTATTTTGTATGTGTTCATGTGTACGATGTATTCTTGTGTCCATTGTAAATAGTTTGTGGCTGCAGGAGAAAGAATACTTAGTATAATGTTTTGTTTCCATGCATTACTTTCTCCTTATGTTATAGCTGTGTCATTTAAATGGAAGATCCTTATGGATGTCAAACAACATGTGGCTGATCTTGGGTCAGTCTTGATATTGTTTTCACTTGCAGTTGGTCAATAATTGTGGTTCATACTTACTTTCTTATCATATTGTCCATTTTTGTATAAGCAACTTGTTTGTTAAGCATTGATCCAACCTAATTCTCTTATTGTGGCACAATCTAAGCACATTGAGACATCTTTTATTTGCCTTTTTTGTTGATATTAATCTCTCTCTCTCTCTCTCTCTCAATTTTTGTGTTGTTCAATCCATATGCTTCCACTTTCCCTGAAAAGATGTGATTTATCAGATCAGAGATAACTTAAGCACTCAAAACTCCTATTTTGTTCCTCGACTTATCTCACTTCTTAGTAATATATATAGCATGTCTCCTTGTCTTCTTTACATGCAAAATATTTTGATAATTATATGTAATTTGAAATGCATTTTCATTATGGGATTTTTTTTTTTCCCTTTGATGTCTGTACCTCTTGTTTTCCCCCTTTTTGGGTAAGTGATGTTTCGTTATGTCTGAATGATTTGTTTCATTTGTTGAAGTTTGGATGTTACATCTTTAACACATCTCTACCCTAAGGGGTTGGTTTGGTGATCAAGGCCTGGGGCCTAGGGGTATGCTCCCTCTATGGTCTCATGTTCAAAACCTCAAAGGTGCAAACAATTTCTGAGGCTAGTCCATACAGAGCTTTGTCTTGGCTTTGATCGGGCCCTCGCTAGTGGACTGTAGGATTGGTCTCCTGGATTAGTTGGTCCATAGGGCCAGACACTGGGATATCAAAGAAACATCTTTGACACATCTCTGAACAAGTGACTGCAATTTCACCAGATACCTGCTGTTCTTTTTTACTGCAAATTTTCTTGTCAGTGGTGTTATCCTTTTTAGCCAGGAGATTTCTTTTTGGTATTTTACCTTTTAGTGTCCATTGATGTGGTCAAGGTGGTATATTATCACATATGACGTGATCCTCATCTCCTATTGGTTCTTGGTACCTCCACAGCTTTGAGAAGAAATATATTTTGAACTGGAGCTTTTGTAGTGATTACTTCATCAATATCAGACAAAAACAGCAAGTAGTAATTGTTTAACCAATCGTATAAATTCTGGGAGCCTTTATATTCATTTAATGAATTGGCTTTGAACTGATATGTCTCTCTCTCTGAGCTCCCCTGGAACATATTGGAGCACATGCATTTGTTTAATTGTATTAATAATACTGATCTAAAAGAGATTGTTTTTTCATCTAGAGGCAAACAAGTTCTGTTTTAGTATGTAAGCATGGGGGGATAATTTCCTTGTTTTCTTTTTGTGGTTCCAGGTACGCTATAACAAAGGCTGTATGTATAGCATTTGCCATGACCTTCTTTTCCATGTTTGATGTCCCTGTCTTCTGGCCCATACTACTGTGTTACTGGGTCGTTCTATTCGCCCTCACAATGAAGCGTCAAATCATGCACATGATCAAATACAAATATATCCCCTTCAGTGTTGGAAAACAGGTGAGCTTCAAGTAATTTTAAATTCTTTTCCAAAATCTGCTGCAAGTACTTCCTTCTTTCAACATGTTGCTTAAACCCAAGTCATCTGATTCGTGGGGAAGGGGTGCCCAATCATGTGTAAGATTGTGGATCGGCGAATTGTGAAAGAAAGTGTGTCAAATTTGTAGATTTATTGAGTCAAATCCACATACTTGCTGAAGAATTCAGTTTAAGCCAATCTTTAGATGCGTTGTATAGGAGTCCATGGTAAGTAAGCTGCATCTTAACACTCCATGTGCAATGGAATAGGATGCGTGATTTGCTAGTCTGAAATTTGAATGCTTGACCCATGGGAGAAGGAAAAAGCTTTTACCATTAGGCTTCTGCGTCACTCATGTTCAAACATCCGCTCTTTTTTATTTTTTCTAACAATAATATTTACAAATTGTACTTTATGAATAAAATAATTGGTGAAAATTATAAAATAGTTGATAATATGTATATACGTATATATATGTGCACATAGACACTCTCGTTGCCGACATATTTTTGAAAAAGATGCTCTCCTGCCTGCCCTTCTGCACCTGCTCCCCGAATTTGGTGACCTAGGTTGGACCTGCTCATCTTCTAGCGTGTGATTTGGGGGTGCTTGAAAACATTATTGGTTTTCTCTTTTCCTTGTTCTCCATTCATTCTTTATTGTTTTCCTTCCCTGAAATTTTCACCTTTTTTTTTTTTTTTTCTCCTCCTTTATTTTCCAATCCTTTTGTTTATTTGTTTTTAACAGAAATACAGTGGCAAGAAATCTGCTGCAAGTAGCAGTGGATCCCGTGCAGATTAAAGCTTGTGTGTTGGTTTTAGACCAAATGGAAACGGATCCAAGGAGCGAACATTTGGAAATATTCATTGCTATAGATGTTGTTTCAAGTAATTTTGTATTTTATTTTAACTAATATGGATTGGAAACCATGGAGTTACAGACATGTAGTTGATCAGTTGTTTATGCTAGATGATGCTGCATGCATGTTGCAGAAGTGAAACTTGTTTATACACAATGCTATGAAGATTCAATTCTTTTTCTGTTCTTTTCAGGGACTGGTAATGTAATATGCTCCAATCTAATGGGATATTTGTCCCCTTTGACATTTTATTTATTTATTATTGTAGTCTATGCAAGTTTTACTATCATTTGGACCTTGATATAGTTTAAACCTGTGCAGTCTGGAGTTGATATTCAAGTCCAGTGGTAGTATTTTGATGCATTACCAAGTTGATGATAGTTAGATTACAACTTAAGAGTCCCAGTCATTTTATTGGTTCGAACTCAAAACTTTTGACATTTTCACTGTCTGGATGCATGAACTATTGGACTAATTGCCTGAACTACTTGTCTTTGTAGTTGCATCTTAAACTTCACAAAATTTAGAAAGGAGTTTATGCCAAATTTATAGAGTGTTTTTTTTTTTAATATTCTTAATTTTTTTTTTTTTTTTTTTTTAACTTTTCAAATAACATTTTGAAATGACTAACAAAATATTTTTTTAATTAATAAAATAATTTTTTTAATTTAAAAAAAAAAAAGCTCAATTATTGAGGTGGAATGAACACATGGACCCACCATGATGCAACCATCTCGGGGTTTGGTTAAAATAAGTACACTCTACCCCCTGTCCTTAAAACTGTACTGGCAAGTGGCCATAAAGAATGATTGTCTCAATGAAAAAAACAAAAACAAAAAGCTTTTATGATTTGGATAATTTTTGTATTCCCAGATCCAGATATTAGATCTTCTCCAACACTATTCAAATTTTTTATTAAGGTCAAATTTGGCATAACCTAAATAATATAAAAAATCAAAAAGTCACTATCCTATTTAAGTCACATCACCTTTCTAATGCATCACATCAAACCTAACCCAAACCCAACCCATATAAGCCCATATAAGTCAAAAAGTGTACTTTTTTAGAACATCTCAAACCAACCCTAAATTTAAATTTAATGAAAGTTAAATATTTTTTCCGCTCCAATAATTGCATCAAAGAAGTATTAAATTAAAGATTTCACTTATCTTTCATCAAACTGAGGACCAATGTTTCTTTCATTAAATCACTGTTCATTACCGTTGCCAGATATCCCCGGATGATCACCTCAAGGTAAAAATCTATGAAAAAATTACACTATCCGATTGTCTACCCAATCGACTGGTGGTTTGATGAAAAGTCAAAACTCTCCGTTGAAACACTCGATATCAAATGAAGTTTTTACTCATAATTGGTGAAAAAATTGATGCACCATTGGAGACGCTCTTTCTATTACATAAATAGATATGTCAACTTCAAATCCAACATATGTAAACCTAATCTTGGAGAAATTATTATGTCTTTCTAAAATTTTAATTAGATTGTGTGTCCTTTCAATTGTATTAATTGCTTTATATAATACATAGGAAAAAAATAGAAAATAATACTAGCTAGATAACTAATAGAATTGTACAAACATTGGTTTAGCATAAACTATAAAAGTCAAAAAAAATCAAAAAGTTATTAAAAAAATTAAAAAGTCCATACTATTTGGGAGAAGCTTGTGGAGAAAGCCTAGAAGGCAAAATTATTATTTTGGCCATTGCCTAGAGGGAAAATTATTATTTTGCCCTTTAAATTCAACAACTCAAAAGTCAAGTCAAAATGTCAAAATGGTAGAATGGTCATTTTACTTTTACTACAATATTTTATTACATATCTTTTCGTAAAAAGTCAAAAAGTTATCTCAAACATATATTTTTTTCTCTATTTTTTTAGTCAAAAAATTAAAAAATATATTTATATAACACATCCCAAACAGCAACAAAATATGGGACGGACTTATGTGATAATTTATCCTAATTTGATATATAAAAAAAAAAAAAAAAAATTCTTCTTAGATTCTTCTCCACAAGACCGGAAAAATAAATAATTTTGACATATTTAAAAAAAAAATTATTAAAAACAAAAAAATTCAAAAAAAGAAGTGGCTGTTTTTTTTTGGGGGGGCCAAAATAGGCCTTAAATAATGCGTTATTTATTTTAACACCAAAACAAACAGTGGCTAAAGTCTCTACCCCTCCTTAAACCCTAATCAAATAGCTAACAGCCCCAATCCCTCCCCTCTCTTTCTCTCTCCTCTGCAGAGCAGCACTTCCAATCTCTCTCTCTCTCCCCGAAACCCTAGAGAGAAGGGATGGGCAAAGTGAAGGGCAAGCACCGTTTGGACAAGTACTACCACCTAGCCAAAGAACACGGCTACAGATCTCGCGCCGCATGGAAGCTCATCCAGCTCGAGTCCAAGTTCAGCTTCCTCCGCTCCTCCCGCGCCGTCCTCGACCTCTGCGCCGCCCCCGGCGGCTGGATGCAAGTCTCCGTCGAGCGCGTCCCCGTCGGCAGCCTCGTCATCGGTGTCGACCTCGTCCCCATTCGCCCCGTTCGCGGCGCCATCGGCGTCGAAGAGGACATCACTAAGCCACAGTGCCGAGCCGCCATCAAGCGGCTCATGGCTGAGAATGGCTGTCGAGCCTTCGATTTGGTGTTGCATGATGGCTCGCCGAATGTTGGTGGTGCTTGGGCTCAAGAGGCGACTAGTCAGAATGCTTTGGTTATTGATTCTGTGAAGCTCGCTACTGAGTTCTTGGCTGCAAAAGGAACATTTGTTACCAAAGTACTCTCTCTCTCTCTCTCAGTTGAATTTTGTTGAGAAAAGTTTATTTATTTGTTGCTATGAATCACTGATTTTGTTAGCTTGTGAATAGCTAATTGTTCTACATTATTTTGTATTGCTATGCATCTAATTTTGTATCTATCATGCACCAAAACTTTCATTCAATTTGATTTCAAATTTGAGTAAAAAGTTTGATTTGATGTGAGCTAATCCAATCCTTTTATCAAATTTTCATCAAAATGTTTTTAAAAATTTATCTGTTATCCTAAATTTCTCTTTTCATCAAATTTGATTTAAAAAAAATAAATCATCTCCAATGCTTCATATTTTTAAATTTAATTTGATGAAAGGTTTGATGAGCTGTCAATTTGATTAAAAATATGACTCCCTTTTGATGAACATTTGATGAAAGGATTGGAGATGATTTTTAAGTCCTTTTTAATCAAATTTAAATTTGAGGAAAGAAAAGTGAAGGATTGGAGATGATGTTAATCGTCTGGAGATATTGTAATTTCCAGTTTGTTTGTGAATGCAGGAGAGGAAAGAAAAGAAATGCTTTGTCAAGTTGAGAGGGAAAAAGAAAAGGAGAGAAACTAGTGTGTTTTCTCCTCTTGTTTGGTTACGTATCTTGTTTGGAATAGAATAGACTTTATAAAAGAAAAGAAATAAACAAATTTGATATATAAAAAGTTAGTAATCATTTTATTTCATTTCTCTTAATTTCTCCACTTTTGGAGATGTTCAAAACGTTTTTCTCCAATTTTTTTTTAAAAAAATTTCCTCATATTTATCTCCTCTTTAGTAATCCAAACAGATTATTAGGACCAAGAGAAATCTATTAATTTCTCTCCAAATCATTCAATCTAAACGTGTTGTTCTTTTTTATTATTCCCAATTTAGAGCAATTCCCGTGTATTGGTTTTGGAAGTTGTGTCTCTTTCCATTTCATTTGAGGTGATTTGAGTCTCCATTTTGCCGCAGCGTGGAGTACTAATTATTGGATTGGATGTTGTAGGTTTTCAGATCTCAGGATTACAGTGCTGTCCTCTACTGCCTTAGACAGGTGATGATTTTTTTTCCCCATTAAAATGTCCTGGGGAGACCTTGTAGATGGACGAGACACTGATGTTGGAATTTTCTTGGCAGCTTTTTGAAAAGGTTGAAGTGGATAAACCAGCGGCCAGTCGTTCAACATCTGCTGAGATTTATATTCTAGGTTTCAAGTATAAGGCCCCTTCAAAGATTGACCCCCGTCTTCTTGATGTGAAGCATCTCTTCGAGGGAGGCAAAGAACCCCCAAAGGTAATTTGATATAAATTATTCAGAAAAAAATTCGCCTGCCTTGTATGCTTTCCTTTGTGTACTTTGTTGTTTCATGAATCATGATATTAAACTTCAGATTTTCCCTGACACAGGTGGTGGATGTACTTAGAGGAACAAATCAAAAGAGACACCGTGATGGGTAATTCCTTGAACCGTGACATTTCTATATGTGCCATTAAATCTGTCAGTTTCCTCATATATCCATGAGAATCACGAGCTTTACTTCTTCACTGTATAGAAAGATAAGGTCACTGCCTTCGCGGGTTGTGGCACGATTTTATGCTGTCAGAATTGATGTGCTTATGAGACATACATGTTGTGGTTGTTGACAATGATATAACAAAGGCTTAGGCCATTGTTTTATTTATTGTTAAATGCCTGTGTGCATCTTAATGTGAATTTCTGTCAATGTGCGTCAATAGAAGGGCTTTTGCTTACTACTTGCTCATTTTAGGTATGAAGATGGGCAGTCAATTTTGAGGAAGGTTTGTTCTGCCGCAGATTTTATTTGGTCTGACAGTCCTCTTGAGATTCTTGGTTCAGTTACATCTATCGATTTCAAGGATCCTGCTTGTTTGCCTATAAAGGATCATACTTTGACAACAGAGGAGGTATACTCAGTGTGCATGTGTGTGTCTGGGTTTCAGTTCCTGATTAGCTATCCTGCACAGTTGTTTAACTATTTGGCCCATTGTTTTCTTTCCAGGTTGAAACTCTGTGTGATGATCTGCGCGTCTTGGGAAAGCAAGACTTCAAGCATCTTTTGAAGTAAGGAACACTTTCCCTTCTTCATACTAGTAGTGAGTGATTAACATCTGCATGTGGGCATTGTTTTACCCTCTTTGTGTGATATACTTGGTATTATCTGTTTACATGATCTGAAGGTTGACACTATGATTTGTTTTATTGTAGTGCTTGTTGTGCACCTAAAGTACCTGTGATCCTCTATTGTAATATTTTTTTTTTCTCACAGAAGTTCCATTAAACAATGAATTTGGTCTGAAACTACACATTTATTTTATTTCTTCTTATTTTTTTGGATTATCAAACACATTTGGAAGCAATAAGACTTGTTGTAGGACTGTTTTTGGAATAAAAGAGAGTTTCTACCAAGTAATTCAGATTTTGTGCTTGAAGCACCTAAAATGAAGGTAAGGTGGCAAAGCTTGAAAGAAACATATGGTAAAAAATATCTCCACTTAGATTCATTGAGGTTGTCCTTCAACTATCAGAATTCTAGGAGCAATGGACAGAATTTAGGAACAAGAAAACAGTAATGAGCGAAACAAAAAAACAGGATATGGAGTTAAATTACTCTGACTACCCAATCAATCAATTGGGACCAATTTGACAAGCTTGAATGCCATTTATTTACAATTCCTCTGCTAAGTAAGTCTTTGGGAATTTTTGCCTAATCACAGGGTGTACTCAATTTGCTTAGATGACTGTATCATCAAAATGCTGAATCAGCATGTATGGCTGTGAATATTGAAAGAATCATCTTATTTGCAGTTTTTTAAGCATTTTAGGCACATGTCATTATCCATAAATTATTGTTGGTGATGACATGCAATTGATGGTGCATCTAGCTACGTGCACATGGAACACATGATAGATTCCATTAGTAGATCCTTGTTTTGATCTACAGAGTGGGGCTTTAGTTTCCTTGTTCTCATATTCTACTTGTAATGAAGATACTATATGGATGTTTTTATCTTTGTTTTTGCTTTTGTAGGTGGCGTATCAGTATAAGAAAAGCACTGTCCCCATCAAATAAGGCTACTTCTACAACCACAGACGTCGAGCATGAGAATAAGGATGATGATAATAAGGATAATGAAGATGAGAGAATACTTAATGAAATGGAGGAGTTGACCAATGCTATGGATCATAAAAAGAAACGAGCAAAGAAACTTCTCGCAAAAAGACTAGCTAAGGTTCAAGGCCTATGTTTGGGATTCCCTTCCCCACTCTTTCTCTGTTTCTTTTATTATGTTTTAACTCTCTCTCTCTCCCCCCACATGCACAATATAATGTGGGAAGACGGTCACTTACTCTGTTTTACTGATAATTTGCTTTGATTCACTTCATTTTGAATTTCCAGGACAAAGCACGAAAGAAAATGGGGATGCAAGTGGATGCAACTTCTGATGGTTATACTGATCATGAGTTGTTTTCTCTATCTTCTATTAAGGTCAGTTTTCATCATGATTTGTTAATTAATTGTATTGTTGGTTTCAAACCTTAAATTCGGATATTTTTATTTATTATTTTGTATCCTATTATCTATTCTATTATATAAAGAACACAATGCAGAACATATTTTGAAGTTATGTCACACTCAAGGAATTCTTGGGACCCTTATCATTTGATGTATTTGAACAGTTTTGAAATGATAAGAACAATATACGTAGAAATGATTTAGCTGAGTTTAACGCTCAAACCAAGACAAGAGCAAGTTGGGGATTTTGGACAGAGCCATTGTCAATGAAAAAGGATACTTATTGTGAGAAATTGAACTTGAAAGCACTATTTTTTTTACATTATGGTATATGCCATTGTATGATTTGTAGTTCAGACCTGAGGTTTCTTTTCAATGTTGGACTTCTTGTTCTTTTGATTTATTATTGACCCATGTTGTTGTGGACATTTTTGAAGTTAAGAATTACCACTCTCTTCAAAAGTGTCCAAATAGGCATTAGACAAGGGGGTCATGTCAACAAGTGTCAAACATGCTAATTTTCAATTTAACTGGTGCCCCACGTATCCTAGGTTTAAGTGCTCTCCCCCCAAACTAGGATGGAGACAATTAAAAAATAAGAACAAGACACCCACATATTCTATTTGAAGCCAATTTCTGTGTCTTGTTAATCTCAACAAAACCTTAAAAAGTGAGTCTTACTGAATTTTTGAGAGGCATCATTCACTTACCCTCCTGTATTATTCACACTCAGGGCAAGAAAGATTTAGCGACTGTTGATACTGCTGAATATGATGATGAAACTGGAGATGTGGTAGATAGTGAAAATGAAGAAACCCGTGAGAGGCAGGAATCTTTATCTAGTGATGTGGACTCTGACGAAGAACGCAGAAGGTGATTCTCTCTCATCATTGTACTTGACATAAGCTTGATGAATATTTTGTATGCCACTGTAATTAAATGATGCATTCTCTTGTCAGATACGATGAGCAGATGGAAGAGATGCTTGATCAAGCTTATGAACGGTATGTGGAGAAAAAAGAAGGAAGTACAATGCAGAGAAAGCGTTCAAAGCAGCTTCACTCCAAGGATACCGAACTTTTAGAGGTAAAATATTTCTGAAAAGAAAAAAAAGAAACTTTCTGATGTGTGGAGTCAAGTAAAATATTGAATTATGTTCGCTTTTTGCTTGTTTCTTTTCTTCTTTAAAATTTTAATTACTATTTTTTTTTTCTCATATTACAATTTGATTCTCTTACAATTACATTGTTTTTCTGAAGTAGAGATTTTTGGAATATTTTGCCAAATGATGCGTCTTGATTGATACTTGTAATACACAATTTGGCTTTATTTATTTTGGGGGTTTTTTTAATCTTTCAAACAAAAGCAGTATTCATATTTAAATTTTAGCTCCATATTTGTTGCTTGTCTTGCTAATTTTCTATTTTTGTTAGTCGGGTGAGTTGACTGGCACACTATTACTGCTATTACCATGGAATAACAGCATGAGTCCGAGATATATTTTGTTGCATTATTGTGTTTCCCTTGATGGATTGTTTTTCACAGGGTGGTGATGATGACAATATGGTTCATTCTGATCAAGATTCTGACAATGATCGAGGAGATCATGAGGCAAATCCTCTGATGGTGCCACTTGTCGAGGAAGCGCCAACTCAAGAGGAGATTACGAGGCAGTGGTTTAGTCAAGATGTCTTTGACGAAGCAGATGAGCCAGGAGATATGGAGAAGTCCGATAGTGAAGATGAAATGCAGGTGGACGGAGCACGCAATCAACTTTCACTTCCGAAAGGAACCAAGAAGAACTGGAAACCGCAAGTCGCTGAACCCGAAGAACCGCTCTCCATCCCCATGAGTGTGCCCAAGAAAAACAAAGTACAAGAAGTTAAAGCTTCTAAGGCCGAAAATGATTTTGAGATTGTCCCAGCTCCAGCTACGGACTCGAGTGACGACTCATCTTCAGATGAATCAGATGACGATGACGACGTATATAAAAAAGCCGAGATATTGGCTTGTGCGAAGAAAATGCTGAGGAAAAAACATAGGGAGCAAATGCTCGATGATGCATACAACAAGTACATGTTTCACGATGATGGATTACCGAATTGGTTTTTGGACGAGGAGAAGAGGCACCGCGTGCCAATTAAGCCCATAACTAAAGAAGAGGTTGCTGCGATGAGGGCGCAATTCAAAGAAATTGATGCCCGACCTGCTAAGAAGGTTGCGCAAGCCAAGGCCCGGAAGAAGCGGGTTGCGATGAGGAATCTAGAAAAGGTTCGGAAGAAGGCGAACACAATATCAGACCAGGCGGACATATCGGATCGTTCAAAGAGTAAGATGATCGAACAACTTTATAAGAAGGCGACACCCAGAAGGCCTCAGAAGGAATATGTGGTGGCGAAGAAAGGGGTCCAAGTGAGGGCTGGAAAGGGGAAAGTACTCGTTGATCGGCGAATGAAAAAGGATGCACGGACACAGGGAATGAACAAGAAAGGTAAAGGAGGGAGTTCGAAGAAGGGAAAGGGCGCGAGGGATCAGAAAGGTAAAGGGCCCGGAAAGAGTTCGGGAAAGGGTAAAATGGGTAGTAAAGGTAATAGAAAGATGAGCAAGCATGACTGAGCTAGTGCTATAGAACTTCTCATCATCATTTGTTTTTCGTCTTTCTTGTTTTTGATTTTTTGATACCCTCTTCACTCTCTCTGTATCTTCCATTTTGAATGTAGAGAGGTTTTTCCTAAGGGGTGCCTGTACTTTGAAACTGTGGATGTCACACATCTCAGATGTTTACATTTTCATATTTATTTGGTTTTGTTTTCTTTCTAATAATTTGTATTTGTAAGACATGTTTCTTCTCTTACATGAACAATCAGTGTTAAACCCTAAGCAGAAGAGAAACATTGCAATTAAATGGCCTTTTGCATTGTAGGATGTTCTTCTTGTGAGATCCAATTTGTTGTTTGCCAACTTTTTCTCCCTGTTCTTGTAGTTGTGAATGTTATTTACCTTTCCTGGTCCATAGATTTTTATTGTTCGCGATCATCTTATCTCTCTTGTTTTGTCATATAGGCCCTGTTTGGTAGAGCTGTGGGAAAGTGCTTATAACTTATGCCTAAACAGCTTATAGCTTATAACTTTCAGCTTAAGCTGATTTCCAGCTTATTCTTAAACATCTCCTGCCCCACTCAAAGAATAAGCTGTTTTCTGACTTCCACAAAGCTATAAGCTATAAGCTAAACCAAACACATCAAAATAGCTTAAATTAAGTTGAAAGCTGAAATAAGCTGAAATTAAGTTGTACCAAACAGGGCCATAATGTGAGTGTTTGGAAAGTTGTTATTTTAGTAGGTTATTTTAATTTTTGGCTATTTTAAGAGGTTAAAATTTTTATATTTGGAAAGATAGTTGAATTTTTTTAGAGTTAGATGTGAAGTTTGTGAGATAAAAAGTGAAATGACATTTTGTATTTTGTCTTTTAGTGCTATTTTAACACAAAAAAAAAAAAAATGTTTTTCAAACACCCATAATGTGTCAGCTTAGGATATAAGTGGTGAGATCATGACATCAGTATATTATATTGACAAGTAAAATGATAAAAGGTATATTATATTGACAAGTAAAATGATAAAAGGGTGATGCTTCGGAGCTCTAATTAGAGCTGCAAAAGGACAGCTCTAATGAGCTGTCAACCAATAAAAAAAAAAAAAAAACAGTGAAGTAAAAGACAAAGAAAAGGAAAGAAAAAGACAAACTAGTGCTCCATTAGAGCTCTTCTTTTAGAGGTCTAAATCATTTTTGATGATAAAAATAAGATGATGTAAAAATTTGAAAGTATTACATTCAATGAAAGTTCCTTTTTAATTTAAAAAAAAAAAATAATATTGTTACAAGTGTAGCATCTATAATATCATATAGGGTTATTGTTCTCTTATAAAAATCAAAGTATGGAAATTGAATTGTGATCAATAGTCGGACCAGATTTATTCAAATTGGATGTAGGATCAATTGAATTTGAATTTTACATATTAGGGGTTGTTTTGACAACCCAGCTAAAAGTTAGTTTTTAATTTTTAACTTGTTTTGGGTCATATCACGGGAAATTTTATTTCTACATACCTAATTATTTCAATGCACACACTTAATGAAATATTATTTTAATGAGAATTATACCCTAAATTAAAATGACTATAATGGACATCCACTAGCACCCATAATGTTATATGAAAATATTTTTTGTACACATCTTTACAAAAAAAATCTCAATGTACACATTTTGAGTAAAAAAAAAAAAAACTAAACCTTAATTTTTCCATCGTTGTTATTTTGCTTACTGCACACTCTATACTCCTTTATTGTTTGCAAATTAATACTCTTATAACAACTCTTATATTGTTTTAATCTTACAGTATATTAGTGATGAAAATGTTAGTTTTTTCATGAGTTTTTTTTTTTTTTTTAATTTTTTTTTTTTTGTGATTTTCAGTCCGACAACCAATACTGAATTATTTCATTTTATTCGGACATCAACTGCCGATTTTTTTTAAAAAATTTTTTTGGAACAAATTTGTCGAACTATTCACTTTTATTCAGAAATTAAGTTTCGAATTAAATATATAATTTCGAAAAACCAATTTCAAAATCTCCATACTGAAAACCATTAAAAAAAAGAAAAAGAAAAAGGTATGGAAATGAGGGTTGAGTGGTGTGTGCACAATGATTATGAGTGAAGTGTATAATTATAACTTTTAGTGTGTGAATTGAGAAAATTAATTAATAATCAAATTAATAAATGTGTATGCTGAGAAAAGATATGCATTGAGATAATTAACGTGTGGAAATAAAATTTCTCTCATATCACCTCTCACATTTTTTACCCATAAAAAGACAAAATAGCAAAAAAAAAAATTTAAAAAATTTTAACCAATTTTCCCTCGTAGATATTTTGACCTATCAGATTTAGATTTTTGGGCAAATTACAAACATCCCCTCGAGGTTTGATGAAAATACAAATTTTCCCTTGAGGTTTGAGAAATTACATCTCGCCCCCTGAGGTTTATATTTTCATAACAAATTACCCCCTGAGTTTTTATTTTCATACAGATTCCCCCCTAATTTCCCCTAATTTGTTATGAAAATTTGACCATCAGAGGGCAATTTGTAATTTCTCAAACCTCAGGAGAGAATCTGTATTTTTATCAAATCTCGAGGGGGTGTTGTAATTTGCCCTAGATTTTTTTTATATTCATTTACATTTGGATTTTGCAGATGGAATTTGGTAAATCTGATGTAAGATTCACAGTTTCACTTGCTAAAAAGGAAAGCACTCAAAAACTAGTTCAAAAGGGCAAAAAAACAGAAGGAAAAGCTTTTTTATTTTTATTTTTATTTTTATTGGGATTAAAATCATGTAAAAATAGACACAATGAATAATAAATAAAACAAAAAAGGGGCCAATTGCACCCCCGTGTAATTTTTTAAAAATAGTTACATGTAAGTAAAAAAATTATAAATATAATTATAAATATTTATAAAATTTATGATTAATTTATAATTATTTTTTAAAAATGTTTTTCCCCTGAAAAAACTGAAAAGACACTTACCAAATATAACGGCTATTTCTAAATACCCAAAAATTTTTGAATTTGAAAAAAAAACCCAACGGGAAGGCCACACCACGATACCCGTCTCCCCTCATTACTCGTTACTTTTCAACATATATCCCACAGACCCCCTGCTCTATCTCTGCCTCTCCAATTCAAAGCCCTTCAAAGCTCTCTCTCTCTCTCCCCCCATCATCTTCATTGCCCCTGGAAGACAAGAGACACTCCCATTCTTCAAGGTCTTGTTCTCTCTCTCTCTCTCTCTCTCTCTCTCTCTCTCTCATTTTCTCTTCTTTCTTTTCTGCAGACCGTTCTTTGAATCAATGAAACTTCAAATGCACAATTTTACACATTACCTTTCTTTTTTCTATTGATTTTAAGAAGACCCAACATTGTCTTCCTAAGATTCATCACTGTTTCTAACTCTTCAATTTCTTTCTTTGCAGACCTTTTCTTGAAGATATCTCAACTTTCCCAAGAAACCCAATTCCAGATTCACCAAACCCAGATCGATCTCTTCCTCCCAATTGAATCTGTGGTATGGGTTTTTACCCTTTTGTCACATACATATATGTATTCACAAATATTGCATTTGACATTCATTGTATTATTGAAGTAGTCTCATCAATTCAATTTCTGAGAAACTGAATGTTTTTCTTTGATATGTAGGTGCAAAGATGAATGATCTTATGACCAAGTCTTTTCTCAGTTACGTCGAATTGAAGAAACAGGCAATGAAAGACATCGAATCAGGGCCAGACATCGAGATGGGTCAACTAGACCCTGCAGATGAGAAAAACCTCTCACAGTTCTTCGAAGAGGTCGCGACAATCAAGGATGATATGGAAGAGATCACTAGTCTCCTTCTTGATCTTCAAGACCTAAATGAAGAGACTAAGTCCACTCACAGTGCCAAAGTTCTTCGTGGCCTCAGAGACAGAATCAACTCAGACATGGTCATGCTTCTTCGAAAGGCGAAAATCATCAAGACTAAATTGGAATTGCTTGATCAATCGAATGTAGTTAATCGTAGCGTGTCAGCAGCGTATAGAGAAGGAAGTCCTGTTGATCGAACACGAATGTCGGTTACTAATGGTTTGAGAATCAAATTGAGGGATATGATGAATGATTTTCAGTCATTGAGGGAAAAGATTGTTAAAGACCATAAAGAAGGGCTTAAGAGGAGGTACTACAATGCCACCGGGGAGGAACCGAGTGAGGAAGTGATCGAAAAGATGGTTTTGGGAGGCGGGCAAGTTGGGATTTTCGAAGGGAAGGCTGATTTGGTGATGGAGAATCAGGAAAGGCATGAGGCTTTGAAGGACATTCAGAGGAGCTTGACTGAGCTCCATCAAGTGTTTCTTGATATGGCGGTGTTGGTTGAGACGCAAGGCGAAAAGATCAATGATATCGAAGAGAACGTTGCTAGCGCCGGAGTTTATATCAGTGAGGGCACAAAGGAACTCATTGAAGCTAAAAAGATGAAGAAGAGGAAGAATTGGGCTTGTTGGATTGGGATTGTGATTCTGGTGTTCTTATTGATATGCCTTATTTCAATTCTGACATGACAAACTCATATCACAACTTGGTTTTTGTTGGGTTTTTTGAAATTGCTTTGTTTTGTTTTTCAAATGGAGGGGCTGTTTATTATTTGAAACTTTTCTTGTAAATGTCTTTTTTGGGGGAGCAATGATGATGATATCTGTTCATCATCCAGTGCATTTATGTAATTTGAGCTTGGAAAATGAGGTTTGAATCATTGGATTGAGATTACAACTAGGTTTTATTGGGGCTTTTTTTTTTTTCAAATTGCTTTGCGCTGTTTTTCAAATGATAGAGAGGGCTGTTTATTGTTTGATGGAGAATTTTCTTGTATATGTCTTGTAGTGGAGCAATGTGGTCGATGATGATATCTGTTCATCTTTGAATGCATTTATTATGTAATTGAGGTTGAGATTTGAAGCATTTGATTGAGATTTCAAACAATGTGGTTTGTTTTTCCAAATTGCTTTACTTTGCTTTGTTTTTGAAATGATGAAGGGACTGTTTATTGTTTGATGGAGATTTTTCTTGTATGTCTTTTTGGGGGGAGCAATGTGTTTGTTTGATGTTGATATCTGTTCATCATTGAGTGCATTCTTTTTTAATAATTTGATTAAGAGTTTCAAACAATGTCACACTAGTTTGATTAAGTTGAGCTTGGAAATGAGATTTGAATAATTTGATTAAGAGTTTCAAACAATGTCACACTAGTTTTCTTTTCTCTTCCTTCTGTTTATCTGAATTACACATTGTGTTGAGATCAGTAGCATCAATCATACGGTTATCCTTGATCAATTTTAGCCTATGCATTCTATATTGCTTTTAGTGCAAAGCCCTTTTCCTCAAACATCAACCTTGCTGGAAAACAAGAGAAGTCCATAACACATTCACTCTTACCTTAGTCTTCTCAGATTTTAGTATTAGCAATGAGGATAATTTATGATTCAAAAAGATATATGCTAACTCATGAAAACATATTTTTAGTTCTTAATTTCATTGTGGAGTCGTGTTAAGCAGTAATTTTCACAATGACATAATGGAGAACCATATGAACATTGAATTTTATTGCAATTTAATTACATCCCACAACAGCTTAATACAAACTGTTCACTCTTTTGCTTGTATATATATAAATTCATCCATATTTCTTGCACTTTGCAAGATATTGTTACAAGAAGCAATTAGCTCCAATAAGAGTTGCCCATTTCCAAACAATCTCAATTTTAATAAAAAAAGAATAAAAAAAAATCCCAAAGGACAACTAACAAGGAGGAAGATCTTTAGGTGGAGGCAGAACAGATTGACCTGGGCCTTTTCCATTGTCTACTACAAAAGCTGTCTTCAAACCCCAGGTTGTATGGAGCTCCAAGTGACAGTGCATTAACCAAACACCTGAATAATTAATGCCCAAACACCCATCAATGAGTCATGACCATATATGATAATAAAACATTAAACATGTTTATGTTGATTTCTGGTGAAAGCAATAACAAAAAACATGTTTAGAACAAACTTGTTTTGAAAAGAAGTGAAAGGGGTGGTTGGCGGGAGGTGGTGGCCAAAGGTGGTTGTAGATGGTTGAAGATGCTGGTCGGCTGGAGGTGGATGCCACTAGAGGGAGGTAGTTGGTTGTCGGCCATGGGAGGTGGTTGCCGAGGGTTGGAGATCATGGCTGACCACTAAAGAGGTGGTTTTCAGAGGAGGTCACCGACAATGGTGGCAATGGTGGGGGTGGCCAAATGTGTTAGTCAGTGGTGGTGATGATAAGCAGTGGATGGTGGCTAGAGGTGGGACGAGGAGGAAAGAAATATATTTTTTTCCCTTCTAAATAACTAATTTATAGTAATAAGAATTTAGTAAATTTCGTAAATTTCGTAAACCATATATCAAACAATTTTCTTTTATATATAATGAGAACTGTAAATATAAACGCTAATGGGAAACGATTTGTTTATATTGAGTAACATACCAGGATTATCAGCCCTGAACCTTATAGCAGTCCAACCACCAGTGGGAACACCAACTGTATTTCTCTCAGGAGGATCCACCAAATTGAATTTAGCAGGGTCTTTCTTAGGATCAAAGTTCCCAATCCCAGTCCCAACAACAAAGAAATTATACCCATGAAGATGAAATGGATGTGATTCCACAGTAAGAAGGTTAGTATCCTGCAAAACCAACTCAACCGTTGAATTAAAAGAAATCCTACTCAGCCTTGTCCCCAACGAAGTCTTCAAATTCGCTGTAAGTGGAGCACCAGTGTAGTTAAAAGTCACCGGAGGGCGGTCTGGGAAGTCTGTTGTGAACACACCGCTCTTGTTGAAATAATGAGCTTCCAGGAGGCCTACAGGCGGCATTACGAAAGAAATGTTGTTTAAAGAAGCAGCGAGTTGGGATCCGTTCTGGCAAGTTGGACAAGGGTTTTTCCCCAAACCAATGGTGTAAAAAAGATGTCGATCGACATTGAGAGGCACATTTGCAGGAAATTGGAGAGAGTTTAGGCTCCGGAGCTTGGAAATGTATTTTAGCGCGAAAGCACTGTCATTTGAGGCAGGCAGGACTGGGAGAGTTGGGAGAATGGAATTTGGTATGCCTTTGTATTGCAAGATGGCTGTGGCGGTTTTGTTGTCGATGGAAAGTGGGACATCAATGAAAGGCCTAGCCGCCATGAAGTACCTGCAGAAGTGGCTCAACCATTAAATTATTTAGCCTGTCACTTAAGACCCACCAAGAAAATCAAAATTTTGTTTTAAAGATATGATAAGATAAGGGTTCATTTTAATATTTAGCCTGGGGCTTTAAAAAATTTTGAGCTGGTATTGAGTACCTGTTGGGGACTTGGTTTGCTTGGATGAAAACATTTGTTGTTTGGCCTGGTGCTATTAGGATTGCTTGAGTTGTGAAGGGTTTGGTGTAGACTGCATCGATCTCGACTACTGTCATGGTGTGCCCAGCGATGGCGAAGAAGAGCTCATCGTTGAGTGCAGCATTGATGATTCGTATGAGATATGTTTTTCCTTGTTCAACCTCAATTACAAAAGTATCTGACCAAAAAAAATAAAAATAAAGAAATCAAGTGAAAATGAGATTGGTTCAGAAATTTTTAGGATTGGTTTGGCAGCTGCTCTTTTAGTAGCTTTATTTATTTTTAATTTTGGGATGAAGTTGTGGTGCTTGGAATTTTTTTTTTTTTGTCTTTATTAAAAGAATTTTTGATTTAAAAAAAAAAAAAAATTAGAACAAGAAGTTTAGAAAAAGAAACTTTTTTTTTTGTATTTGCCAAAAAATAAGCTGAAAACCCAAATGACTAAAATATTTTTGGTTTAAATAGCAAAAAATGCAGCCCTTTTTTTTTTTTTTTTTTTTTTTTTTTTGTTGAAACCAAACAAAGTTTGATGGCTCAAACTTTATGTTGTGTCATGAATGAGCTAAGCCAAATAATTGATTGTTCAAGATTAATTTAAAAACTTAAAAAGTTTGATTTATTTATCTTTTGAGCTAATCTCAAGTTAACTTTAATCGAGTCAATGACAAGTTGATTTTGTATATATTGGTTTCTAGAAAATAAACAAGTTTCAAAATATGTTAAAAAATAATTTATTTATATACAATAAATTGATGCCAAACAAACTTTTAACGAGTCGGAGTGTAATCAAATAGTTGGACTTAGCCTAACCACATCTCATCAATTCTAGAAGTCAAAAGTTGTTTGGAAGGTCCCGAAAGGCAGTGCTAAAGCACTTAACTTGCTTTGTTAAAAGAAAAAGCACTTAACTTAGAAGCAAATCCAATGAAGTTAAAAAAGAGGTTAAAAACTTACGTTTCTCAGAACAAGGGAAGAGTGGTCCAGGCTTGCCATTAAATGTATGTGCATCTGACATGTTTGGAGGTAATCCCCGTTTGGTTCCTTCTTTAACCACCTCTTCTACATCAGTGTTCCACCACTCTCCTACACCCCCAATAACCACACAAAAAAATGTATTAATAATCTAAATTAACGTTACCCAAACAGAGAACAGCAAATTCAATGGCGAAATCAATCAAAAATTCACCTAGGAGTAAATTAAATTCCAAGTTAGGCTGAGGGAAAGGGTACGGTGTCCCCGGCTTGGGCATGATGACGATAGCACCATACACAGTGGCCCTTAGCCAAAAAATATGTGCATGCCACCAGAGCGTTCCTCTTTGTCCTGTTACATTGAAATCATACGTGTAAGCTTGCCCGGTCTTGATTGGACACTGTGTTATGTAAGCCGGTCCATCAGCCCAACCGTTGCGAAAGTGCTTCAACCCATGCCTTAAAAAAAAAAAAATCAATAATAAAAAGCTGCAACTTTAAACTTTAGTTAAGCTTATTTCAAGTTATTTGCGACTAAATAAGCTGATTTTTAATTAGAAAATTTACTTAAACAAACGTTACACTGCAAATTAAATCTATATTCCAACCATGGCACCAAACATGCTAAAAACTTTTGTATTAATAGTTGCACTAAACAGACTATCGTACCAATGGATTGACATGTTATATTGTGCATTGTTGGTAACATTAACGAGGACTCGGTCGCCTTCCCTGACATAGAGTGTAGGCCCTGGGAACATCCCATTGACAGTCACAATGGGCTTGGAATGGCACAATCTGCTCACCTTCTTCACTTGAAGCTGTAAATACAAAATAAACAAAGACATATTACCAACCAAGAAACAAACAGTTCTGCTACTACGATCACAAAAAAGAATTCAAGTTCTGTTATCGGATTCTGTATTTTTCTAGACTTGTTCACAAGTACAATGTGACAAGAAAATGCATGCAAAACGCCAACAATATGGAAAATTGTTACTCACATCAAAGTGGTATTGCTTCACCGCAGCTTCAGCTGGGGGAGAGATAGATCCGATGAAGCAAAGGAGAAAGAAAAAACACCAGCAAAAGCCGATATGCTTTGCCATCTTTTTCACCACGGCTCTTTGTTCAGTCATCTCTTGTTCTGAGGCCGTGACAAGTGGTTTCAGAGCAGAAGTGAATATTGTGTATCTATATCGGGATGAGAGAGGGGTTCAAGGACTGAAGTTCTTATAGGGGTAGAAAGAGGTTAGAATAAACCATCAGTTTGTTAAAATAGAAGAGAGAGAAAGAGAAAGAGGTGTTGATTAGGTGAAAATGTAAGGGGTGGTAAACCAAAGCTTGTAAGCAATATACTGATAGTGAAAGAGACTTCAATGGCAGCTGAGAAACCTCTGGTTTTATGTATGTATACATATAAATAAATATAAATAGTGGGTATTGAGAGCATGAGAGAGATACGTAAAGCCAAACATGACCTCTTTGAGCTTTACCGTCAAGAAAATATGGTTAGAACTACAAATACTATGTTCTTGTGACTTCACAAAGGCATTTGGTTTCCCCTAGTTACTTTTCTTTTACCCTTCCTTTGTTGTTAAGCGTTTGTTTGGAAATCCAAGTAAATCGTCGAGTTATAAATGCTTTGTTTGTTTGGCGCAGTTTATTGAGATTGTTTATAATTTTTTTTTAAATTATTTATTTTGAGAATTTGTGTTAGAATGTTGAGTATAACTTGTGCTTATAGCTGTGTGACAAAAATAACTTAAACAAGTGAAAAAAATATGATAGGTTGATGAATGAATGCCATTAAGGTTTTGTTTTTTGATTATTAACTCTTTGGCTATGTTTGGATTATAGGAATTAAAGAGAAGGAATGCGAATCTTGTTACTAGGAATTAAAAAGAATGAATGAGAACCTCATTACCAGGAATTCCACTATTAACAATTTCCTTTGTCAATGCAATTCAAACGTTTGGTTAGGTTAGAAAATTTACTATAGGAATATGATACAGTTTGAAATGTTATGAGTTCATCTGTTGCTTTATTCTTAAATAAGTCCCATTTCTAAATGTCAGATTCTCATGAAATGTAGAAGTAACTAGGAAGTACATTCTCATTTTTGGACACACCAAACAATGGCATGAAAAAACTTAAAACAAGATTCTTATTCTATCTCTTCATTCCTGTCACCCAAACATGACCTAAACTTATAAAGAAGCTGCAATGAGCTCTTCCTTTTGAGTACAAATTTGATCACACTTTTAGAGTGTGTGAACATTACACTTTTCATTGATTGGTTCTTTTTTAAGGTAAATGTAGGACAATCTCATCTATCCCCAATGGGAGTGTGTACAGTTCACTTTAGGTGAACAAATTTGCACTCCTTCCTTTTGAGTTTCAACTTTATAAAGAAAAAAAAAATACAATGAGATAAAGTTAAATTTCTTGCAAGGAATACAATGAGTATATTAGAAAAGTACTGAGTTTATTAGGATTACAATTGTTAGTTTTCTTAACCAGTATGCAAAGCATGACATTGCTTCTAAGCTTTTATTTTTTATTTGTAGCCAATGCATGCTTGATTCCATTGTTGTTTTGCTTGCTAAGAATGCTTGAACTTGTAAAGACAATAATGCTCTGTGCTCTTTTAATAGGTGCTCTCTGTTCAGAGTTCAAAGATGATTCATGATCATTCATGACAATCGTCAGGCTGTGCTTTTGCCTGGTTTGTTGATATTCTAAAAGTCGGTGGTTTGCATAGACATGCAGTTCTATACCTTGATAACATGTGGATTCCATGTAATGATGTGTATAGCACTCATTCAGATATGTTCAAAGCCTAAACTTTTTCAGTTTTGAAAGAGTGAATAAAGTTGTGTTTAGATTTATGAATTTGAAATATGAAGAAAAGAGACTATTTAATTAAAGAGAAACCAGAATTGACTATCAGAAATTATCAAGGGAGTCAGAAAAAATCAACGTTGACCGTGTGCTCATCTAATTATATGTGCTCAAATGTTCACTTTGTTCATGCTATTCTTGAAAAATGATGACATGCCCCTTATTGTTGGATGGACATATGTCTACGTGGTATTTTGAGAACACCAAATAACTTATCAACCTATTACATGTTACAATTTGATTTTTTTTTTTTTTTTGTTGTTGATTTTCGATTTAAAGGGTAAATAAAATATCCATACGAGATTTTAAGGATTTTATGAGTGTAGATGGATTCAAGGTTAGGAAGGCAAAACTATGCTGATGGTCCAACAATGGTGGAATGGTTGGAGGATGAGCAGTAGCAACTGTCTGGGAAGTTGGAGAGTCGCTACAACAAAAACACATTTTAGTGACACCATACTAGTGACATGTTCTTAAAAAATGTCACAAAAAGAATATTTGGTAGCATTTTTTAGAAAAATGTCATAGAGCCACAAACATACAAGGCTCTAGTGGCATTTCAATTAAAAAAAGTGTCACTTCACTGCAACAAAAATGTCACTACAACAAATTTACACTTTAGTGACACTACACTAGTGGCATGTTTTTAGAAAATGTCACAAAAATAAAAATTGGCATTATTAAATGTTTTAGAAAAATGCCACAGAACCACAAACATATAAGACTCTAGTGGCATTTCAATAAAGAAATGTCACATCAATTTTATGACATTTTATGAAATAATGACACAAAAAATTATGTTTGTGACATTTACCAACAAATGCCATTAAACGTTAGTAGCAATGGCATTTTTTAAAAAATGTCAGGACACTAGGTAGGTGCAAATTACTTTTTATGGCACTTAGGTGAAAAGTAAAGCTTTTTTGGTTACTAATACTGTTTTGGTCGCTGATTATATGGGTTTTACTGACTAGAAAATTTTAGTAGCTAAAAGTAAAGCTTTTTGGTGACTAAAAAAAATTTAGTAGCCAAAAGTTTACAATTGGCGACTAAAAAATTAGTTTAGTTGCCAAAAGTGGTCATTTTTAGCGCGGGAGAACTAAAATCCTAAGGCGGGAATTAAATTTTTTGGCGACCAAAATTTTGGTATCTGAAAGTGCATCTTCGGCGACTAAATCCGATTTTGGTCGGCAAAAGTTAAGTTTTTTAGCAACTAAAAAACAATTAGTAGCCAAAAGTATAGAAGGCAAAAGTGGTCTTTTTTTATTTTGCTAGTAAATAGTTTATTTTACATAAATTATGTTCAATAAAATAATTATGTTTATACATATACTTTTATATTAATATGGATACATGTACTATATAAATAATATATGTTGCATATATAATCATGTGGTACTATAAAGGTGGAGTGGGAAGAGTGTGGTGTATAAGGTTTATGGTGTGGGAGGTTGGCGGTTCGAGTCTCTGCAAGAGTGGATCAAATTGTTCTACAACGAATTATCGTCACGAATAGTGCCTACTATGACATTAAAGCGTCACTGAAAGGTTTTAGTCTTGATGGTGTAATGACACTTATAAGTGTCACTAACTCTTTTTTTAATGGTGCTTGATAGTGCCACAAATAATATCTACCATGATATCAAAATGTCATTGAAAGTTTTTAGCCATGATAGTGTAGTGGCACTTGAAAATATCTACCGTGGTACGGATACAAATGGCACTTGTCCAAAATGTCACAAGACTAAAAAGTGTCATTAAACCAAGAGTTTTGTGGCATTTTCAAATGTCACTAAATTAAGAAAATGTTGTAGTGAGTGAGCGGCTGGGTGAGGGTGAAGCAGGTAGCTCAAGAAGAAATATATGGCAGTGCACAAATGGGCGGCATCTCTCTCAAATCTCCAAAATTCTTCTTCTTGAACTTTGAGAAATAAGTCCTATTTATAGGTTTTTCCTTAGTACCAAGAGGACACCAAGTGACCAAATAGAGAGAGGACATGTGTCCTAGAGGATCACTTGGAATATTCAGCCTTGAGCCACCAGGTTGAAGGTGCCACGTGTCCCTCTACATGTACTGTGTACTATCTGTTTGCCTCCGCAACTACCTTTTTTGAGCCTCAGCAAATATAATTGCGACGGGAGTGTTTGGTGCTACAACTCCCTTTTGAGCCTCAGCAAGTGCAGTTGCAGCAGAAGTGTTTGCTGTTGCACTTGCCTTCTCAGCTCAAACCTGAGCAAGTGCACTTGCAGTGATAAACCTTGCTGCTGCACTTGCCTTCTAAGTTTTACTTGGTCAGTACATGCATTCTCAGGACTCCATTAGTCTGCTATCGACTATGTTCATGCTCACCTCAACGAAGCCTCCACCTTTAGCCACCTAACCGCAAACTCCCCAACTTTCTAGGGCAAAGGCCATAACCAAGCCTGTTATCAGCCATGCTGTGCCTTAGTATGAAGCCCAAGAGGGCTTCCTTAGTTCTTCCTGTGCGACTAAGGCAGGTTCGTGACCTGGGTAAATGGAAAGTCAGGCTGCCCTGCTCCCATCTTCGCGGAGGTGTTGCGGTAAACTGGTATCTCTGGGCCTGCTATCAGCTTCAACCAGTAAGTCTGGCTGCCTACAATCAGCGCCAAGGTAATGAACTTTGGGCAGCGCTGAGACAAAATGCCTTCGCAACTTGGCTACGCAAGTGTTGCCTCCGCAACTTAGTTGCTACGGCCCCTTCTTTCCCTCAACAACTTCAGATGGTGGTTGAACCAACATTATTGGGGGAATGACAGCACTGAGGCAAAGTGCCTCAGCAACTTGACCGCTGCAAGTGTTTCCTTTGCAACTTCACCGTTGCATGTGTTGCCTCTGCAACTTGACTTAGGCATTTTCTTTCGTGGAGTTGTGTGGACCGTTGGTGGATCGGACTGCTTCGGCCCACTGTTGGCCCACTTCCCTTGGGCTTTAGCCCATGCTCTTTTTTCATTCCTAGTCGTCTCAGAAGGGTGACCTCAGCACTTAGGCCCATACTTAATTTGGGGTTTAATTTGGTTGTGGGGGATACACCCCTTGTTTCCCGCGCGTGCATGACGTCAGCAAGTAACCCAGGGGTTGCGTTGGTTAGGTCAGAAGTTGCGTCGGTTTTTTGCAGAGTCATAATGGCTCTAGAAAGGTGCCTTTTGATTGACAGTTATGATGGGCCTAGAGAGGCCACTTTTTTGCCACTTTCTCTATAAATAGCGCCTCTTAGGTCCACTAGTCCTTTACTTCCGCCACAATACACTTTCTTGTCTCCTTGTCTTCTTATCTCTCTAGCCCTTACCTTTCAAAGTTTTCTTCTCTTTC